AAGATGCATTATGTAAAGGTACAATTCCCAATGAGAAATGTAATTGTGTTGTATACCTAAAATGTACCAATAAAAGAATTTAACGTAAAAAAAAAAAATCCAAGTTAAGATTTCAGTTTTCAGTCACACTTCATTCTTATCTCAAGGAGTATGCATGGGAGCAGCTTGCTGCTCTTGGAATTCTGATGCATATCTGTGTTAATAAAGCTTGCTCACTGCAACTCAAGAGACCTCAGGAATCAGTCCCAGGCCCCATCTTCCACGAAGGAACTGACTTGTGCACCCTAGCCCACACCCGACTCCTGAGTGGAGAAGACATGTGGCCTGGGAATAACCACAGGCAGCCTCACGTCTGAGTTCTCATTCCTACCGAAAATAATGCATGTATTTCTGAGAGTGAACCAAAGTCAAAAGCCAAAGAATACAACTTTACCTTCTTGTAGATATTTAAGATAGCACTTATACATCAATTACATACAGATAGTCCAGAAGAGAGAAGACATAATTTAAAACTGAACAGAAAACTCAGATAAATCCTATCCTCTAGGGCAGAGAAGGGTTTGGGAAGACTTTTTAGGGCCACATAGCAGGTGCCACAGACCTGGGGGAGCTACGTGCTCATCTCTCCTGCCCCGAGGAGAGATTCCGTGTCAGCTTTTGCCTGTATGTCACATGCAAGAGTCAACATTCTCATTCAGACAGAAAACAGCTTCATGCATCATGGTAGAAACTGTGCCTTCTTAATTAATTGATGTAACAGACACATCCAGTAGTACTTAAACATCACAAGTCTTCAACAAATGAAAGGAATGAACATAAGGGTATTACAGAGATTTTTCAGGAAAATATTTCTTGCATCTCTATTATAAAAGCAAAAATCCAGGAGCCAGGGATTTAGCTCAGTGGTTCCAGTGCCTGCCTCACAAGTGCAAGGTCCTAAGTTCAATCCCTGATACCAAAACAAAAGCAAAAAATCCTTGTAAATGCATTACTTGTTACTGATATAGAGGGCAGCCAGCTGATGGACGACATTCATCACCACCTCATAGCACCTCGTGACAAAGCAGGACAGCTCCTGAAATGACAAGTGCAGGATACGTTACAAGCTGCTCTTGAAGCGTCGCCACTTTTAAACTGAATGTTATGGTAACATATCTAACAAAAACAAAACTGCTTCCCAGTAAAATCTCCTAACTCTTCCTAAAAATGTCTTTGTTCTTCTGTGTACCCTTGCTACGTGACCTGCTTCCCTACTGGATCAACATTAGCTAAGCAGTTACATTTATAATCTTATTGGTTGATCATAGTTGGACCCGTGCTGTATCCACCTCATGGTTTTGCTCTTTAAAACATTCTCAGAGAGGTGAGCTCTATGGCAACCACTTTTGAGTCCCCTCCTGTCTCTCAGGAGCTCTCCCAATAAATTTTTCCTATCCTTGACCTCCACTGTTCCTTAGAATTCATTCTTTGATTTCGGGATTCATGAACTCTATGAATCTGACATCTAGCAGGCTGGGAGTTACTTTCCCCTACCTCAGTGTCATGTCAGTGCTTAAAAGGATTCAGATTTTGGATTTCTGGATTAGTAATTCTCAACCTCTATAGATGTTACAGACTTTTATATATTATATATATAATTAGCACAGCTTAGAATCACCATATAAAGATAAAAGATTTATCAGGACTCATTAGCAATTTTAAACTTGTATGCACTGAATAAAATAAGAAATGCAAAATTTGATAAAACTAAGAGGAAAAATGGACCCACTCCCTGAGGAAACCCTACAAACCACACTTCTTAGACACCTTCCTGGCCACCAGACTTCCTGCTAGGTTTGTCAACAGCAGGAAAAAGGACTTCCCTTCTATCTTTATTAAGCTAACCTAGGGAGGAGCAGTTCACCCCAACAAAGGCTGTTTGTAAGAGCATCACCTTCTTTCAGACTCCAAAACTAACCTCACACCACCCTCTCAGGGTATCAGGGCCATGTCCTCAGAGGCCTGCGCTCTAGCTCCCTAGGCTGCTCCACCGAGCGCCCAGATCCTGGCCAACTTGACCACTTCTCCTTTTGTTCCCTAGACTTATGCTTCCTCTGGATTACCTCACTGTTGTTCTTTCAACCCTCCACCTCCTGTGTAACCAACTCCCCATTAAATCCCCTCTTTAAAAACAAGTATTATTATATACATTTGAGGTACCTAACACGCTATAGGATACATGTAGGTAATAGAGTTATAATACAGCAATGTCTATCATTTCATATAGGTACTTTTTTTTTGTAAGAAAAGCAGCAAAAATCTACTCATCAGACAGGAATACCATACACAAGACAATTTTATTACCTATTATACTCATGTTCCACATCAGGTCTCTAGAGTTCTTTAGCATATCTGCAACTTTGTATCCTCTGACCCACGCCTTCTTAAAATGCCTCATGTAATTTGTTTTCTAGCCAAGACCCTGAATAACACGTCATATTATCAATAAAATGCTCTTGCTTAGGTCAAATAGATCTCCCAAAACAGTCAAAAAGATCTGAACAGTATGTTAGCATGCTTTATCTGATGATATAAATCAAATCTTGTACCCAACAAATAGAATGGAGGGGGTACTATTGGTATTTTTTCCTTATCTCCAATTTTTGCCTTTTCACATTGTACATTCATTGTCATAAGGAGAGAAGGGAGGAAACAGAAGTTGTATCATGCTTTTAGTAAAACTAAGCCAAAGACCTGGAATGAGTAAAGCTTTTCAGTAATGAAAACATTCTTCTAGAAGCATCAAGTGCTGCTGCTTCTAATAACCTCATCACTGCTCATACAACTGCTTAATTCTATTTACAATTTTTGTAATTCATCTTTTCCTACCTGTTACACAGTTTAACTTCTTTTAAAAGACATGGTGACAAACTGTTCACGAATGAAATTATACAAAGAAACTGATTTTGATCTTGACTGCCCTAAAAAGCCTGAAACTGTCTCAAGTATGATCTCCTAAATTAGAATGCAATGATAATTAAGTATCCTATGCACGGAGTACACAACCTTAGCATTTGATAAAGTTTCCGAATTCTTAAATTACATGTAACTTATGCAAGCTTTTAAAAGAAAAAGTACAATAGAAAGTAAAACTCAGTTACCTGTAAGAATGAAATAAATCTCCCCATCTGAATTTGGCAATCACCTTCCATCATGCTTGATTCGGTAGCTGTAAAAGGCAACATTAAAAGTTGTATTTAAAGTTTTAAATTTAAACTCAACACCAAAACACAAGTGAATTTTTAAAATTAGGACATCTTTTAATCTGCAGAGTATTGAAAACAGAATATTTACACTGAAGAGGAAAATGAGACAATCATTCATCACTCAAGGAAAATCTGCACTTAATTACATATTTTGTAACTGGTGAAAATATCACACATCAGTTTTAGGGAATTTGCTTCTGCTTCACCAGGTTTTTTTTTCACTTATTTAGCTAGACAAACTAACAAAAATTTGAATGCTTATTTTCCCACAGTACATTACTTGATCATGTCATTCCTAGAACTGTCTGAACTTTTTGTTCATTTCAATCTTACTACATTATAATTTTGCAATTTTGAAACTTACCTCCTTCTCCATAAAACAAGAGACCATTATAAAACTTAGTTTCAGCCTGTTTAAAAAAAGTTAAAATAATTTTAAAGGTTATTTTGTTTTTGAATGCTTTGACTCTCTTATTTCTGTATATTAGTAACCATGGACTAAATTATCTATATACAAATGTAAATTCCAAACACTACTTGTAAGTAAATTCAATCCATCTTGAGCACACCAAAGCTGCTACTGGCATCTCAAGCGCACCTTGATGCCCAGCCCTTGTCTCGTGGGATCACCCTCACTGCCCCACCTCCTCCCATCAGTTCCTAGACAGCACCCCCACAGCGTCAAAGAGAAAGGAAAAAGTTGACGGTTACCGCCTCCTACCAGCATGCCAGCAACTCTTCAGTAAGGAAACCCAAGACTAAATGCTAAGGTTCAAAGCTTTTTAACAAAGCCGGTCCCATCTAGCGAGCCAGTACACGCAGCAAATACAGCAGCACCACCTCAGAGGGACACAGAGCTAGACTTAAACTCCCAGGAGGCTCCTGGTCGGGTGGCACCTTCTTGACGCCCCAGTTCAACATCTACTCCTCACTCACCCCCAGCTGCTGTGAGGCTAACAGTGTCAGCCTGGTGTGGGCGAAGAAGTGATCGGTGACTGGCAGGAGTAATATTAGTACAACTGTCAGTGGTATCAGCATTATTAAGTCATTCAATATTTACTGCACACTAGGCACATACAAGTATATACTCGTCTTTCAATGATCCGTTTTTAAAGTTGTAAGAAAATATTAACAATTACCTCATATTTTAATTTCTTGATTTCACAACAAAGTGCAGCGTAAACAGTAATGACTTTGTTTAAGACCTAATTTCATGAGTGAAAAGATAAAACAGAAAAAAGTAAAAACCAAATAGCAAAAACATTGCTTTAAAAATGTATATTTAGGATTAGGATTTTGTACCTTGTTTTCAGTCTTTATCAGTTCCAAAAGGGAAGACTGTTCATAAGGCAAAAGCTATAGAAACAAAGGAAAAGCATATTTCAATTTGAAAAATCACTGAAATTTTAAATACACAAACTGAGTGAGCCTAGTTATATTGAAACGTGTGCTGACCCTGTACTCTGTGCTCACAGCAAACCATTTCATTCAATCCAATCTCAACAGACAACGAAGTAAGAAAATGGCATCCAGCTCATGAGGAAAGGTCCCGCCACGACACAAGCCACTGCAGGAACTCCTACTGAACACAGGGACACAAGTGGCAGGCACACGCAGGGCGAACGTGCCACATGAGGAGGAAGCCCACTAGCCACCCTGAATTCATTACACAGGTATGAATTTGGTAAAATACTACCACTAAAAGGGTCAAAACACGTTATCATAAAGAACAGACATAGAAGAAAAGAAAAAATACCATTTTTTCTTCAATACATCCATGGCCCAGAAACATACAGTATGGGTCACCTGTCTTCTAAGACTACCTCAATTCCCATCTCTGTAAAGCAATCCCAATTAACATCTACACGGGACTTTTCCAGTAAATCTTAGATCACTGATGACATACTAACAACTAAATATTTTATGTAGGCAAGTAGTACATAAACTTTCTCATTAGGCTGTACTTCTGTTTACAGAGATTCTGTGTTTACGACTCTCCTAAAGAAGGGGATTTAGCTCAGTGGTTTCACCGCCTGCTGCACAAGTGCAAGGACCCGAATTCGATCCCCGGTACCAAAAAAAAAAAGAAGCAACAAATCTTCACACTAGAAACACAAAATAATAGCCCAATAATAGAATTAAAAAGAAGTTCCTTGGCCGGGGATTTAGCTTAGTGGTTTCGCCACCTGTTGCGCAAGCGCAAGGACCCGAGTTCGATCCCCGGTACCAAAAAAAAAAAAGAACTTCCTAAGGCAACTGGGGGAGGGTCCACAGGATAAAGTTTAAGAGATTAGAACTCATCTATAGGGGAAGGTAAAGCTAAGAGATGACTTCATCCTTTTATAAAATCTGACAGTTGAGACAAATGGATTTTCATGGCCATAACTAGAAGAGGCTATTACAGCTAAGAACAAATCTTTTTAAAAAATTAACAAATGAAAGTAACAAACTGAAAAAACTCATTACCCTCAGAGATAGCAGGCTGAGGATGACACTTTCCTAAGGGAAGTTCTGAAACTTATGTACAATGACACTCAGAAGGGTTCAAGAACAAGAGACAACAATAAATTTGAGCAAGAAAGAATTTTTAAAGGAAGTATAGCCCATGAAGCCTGCAAGACAGGAAAGTCCAAAGTAACTCTGGTTCACAAGTATGCAGGGCACTCCGCACCGTGCACAGGGGACATGCTCTGCCCTGCTAGGCCCTCATCACTGAACTAAGCACGTCACTTCACTTAGTCCAGCACGCTGCCTAACCTCTGTATGCCTCAGCTTTCTCTTTGCAAAGGGAGATATTATACCTACATTACAGTGTTGTGGAAATTAAAAAACAATTATTTGTCCAACAACATAATAATAAAAAGTCAAATTTAAAAATAGGCAAAGGCACATGTCTATAGTTTCTACTACTTGGAGGCTGAGGCAGGAGGATTTCTTGAGCCCAGGAGTTTAAATCCAGCCTGGACAAAACTGCAACACCCTGTCAATAAAAAAAACAGGGTAGAGCCAGGGAATTAGCTCAGTGGTGCCGCCACCTGCCTCGAAAGTGCAAGGTCCCAAGTTCAATCCCCGGTACCAAAAAAACAAACAAAAAAAACAACAAAAAAAACAAAAACAGGGTAAATGCATAGACATTTCTTCAAAAACAAATAAATGATCCATGAGTGCATGAAAAGATGCTAAAATCATGAGCCACCAAAGAAATGCAAACCAAAACCATGTGATGACCATCTCACACCCAGTAGCATGGCTGCAATCAGAATAACAGCCAGAATAATAGCCAGGGGTAGTAGCGACACCTGTAATCCCCACTCAGGAAGCTGAGGCAGGAAGATCGCCACCGAGGGCAGCCTGGGCTACCTGGTGAGTTCAAGACCAGTCTGAACTACATAGCCAGACCCTGTCAAAACATAGATAAATAATAACAATATATATGATAAAGACAGTAACAAGTGTTGAGAATGACATGGATAAACTGGAACCCTCATCTACTGCTGGGAGAAATGTAAACTGGTACAGCCACATTGCCAAAGTCTCAGAAAGTTACATGCAGTTACCACATGACCCAGCAATGTGTCTCTAAGAGAAATGAAAATGTATGTAAACAAAAACATGTACAAAAATGCTCATTATAATATTACAAATGTTACAGCCAGAAGTGGAAATAGCCCAAGTGGAAAAAGCTCCACTGTCCAATTGATAAATGGATGAATGCTTTCTGTGGTAAATGCATCCCACACGATGGAATATTATTCAGTAGTGAAAAGAAATGAAGTACTAACACATGGCGCAACATGGGTGAGCCTAGAATACATGCTACGTGAAAGGACCCAGATACAAAAGGCCCGTTTCGTATGGTGCCGCTTAAATACAATGTCCAAAAGAGACAAACCCACAGCGCTGCAAAGTGAATGAGGCTGCTCTGTGGCTGCCTGGGTCTGGGGTGCTGGTGTGATGGGGGAGGGCGGTGACCACCAGTACGTAAAGAGTTTCTTTGTGGATGGCAAAAATGTTCTAAAATGTCTAAAATAGTGGTGGTTGCACAGTTCTGTGAATACACTAAAATACACTAAAATTTTATGATATAATGGGTGGCCTGTGTGATGTGTAAATTACACATCAAGAAAGCCGTCATAAAAAAAAGTTAGTGGGTGATTTAGGACAGTGTGTAGTACCTAAGTGCTCCACAAATAACTGCATTTTACTGTTATGTAAAATAACCTCAGTAAGAAGAAGCAAACAAGGCTTGAATATTCTACCCAACTCTCTTTATTTTCTTCATGATGAAAAACAAAGGCTAATGCAAAAAATCAGAGTTTGTATCATGCTTTCAAAAAACAAATTTAAAAAAACACCTACATGGCTTAGAGAAAAGGAAATTAACAATTTTTCCAAGTTTCTTTTCACTGTTAGATTTCAAATAAAAAATACATTTTGTTTTTAAAAATGACACTGCCAGGCTGGGGATTTAGCTCAGTGGTTCCGCCGCCTGCCCTGCAAGCACAAGGACCCGAGTTCGATCCCTGGTACCAAAAAAAGTTCGATCCCTGGTACCAAAAAAACAATAAAAATGACATTGTCAAGATATAGTACACCTTGAAAATTATGTATATCAATTTTAAAAAATCAAATCAAACCTTTAATGCTATAGGGTCAAGATTGAAATCCCAAACATCTCCAATTGAATCATCCAGGGCGTCCTCAATTCTTCTCAACTGCGATGTATAATCCTCAAGAAATTTTCCATAATTCTTCAGTTGGACTTCAGCATGAATTTCTAAATTTGAATTTTAAAACAGTATAATTACAAGTAATGAATTACAGAACATTTCCTTCAAATAACCTCACAAGTCACAGTAAAGCAGTGTTAATCATTACTTTGGAATGTCTCAACGTCTTGAAAATAAAGTTTCAAAGTTAAATAGTCATTCAGCTTTTAATGTTTCCCAAATACTTAAAAGATTTTAAAAGCAGCGGCCCATTTGTCCCATAATCTAGGGCTTCTTACCAGTCTGAATAGTGTACAATTAGATAACTCAATGGGCAATTAGATAACTCACTGTCCTGCTTTTATGCTTTAGTCATAAACAACTCTGCAGCAAAAAAAATAAACATTCACAACTTAACCTGAAGCAGCAGCTATAAAACCCTATGTTGTCATAGGATATTTTAAAATATTATTTAAAATATGAATTCTACACCCAGTAAACTGTTCAAAAATACACTTAAACTTTACCCCGTCCCCTTGGGCAGTATGGGAGCCTGAACCCAGACCTTTGTACTGAGACTGAGCTGCATCCTCAGCCCATTTTATCTTTGTCTGAGACAGGGTCTCACTAAGTTGCCCAGGCTGGGATCAAACTTGGAAATTCTCCTCCCTCAGCCTCCGAGTGGTGAGGTTATAGGCGTATGCCACCATGCCTGGCTTTTAAGTATTTTTTAAGTGAAAGGTTTAGACCTGCTGTAGTACAGCGGATACTATTCCTTTTAACGCCTACAATTCACCAAGATATTTTACTGGCTTGATTTCTTAGCTATCATAATTGAGCTGGAAAAGCCAATAAAGACGGCTAAGTATAGAACACTGCTGTTTGCAGACTGCACACAATAACAGAAGGCTTTTAGCTGAGAGTCACCGGAGAAGAGTGGATTTAAAAAGTGCCCATTCATTAAAATTAATGAAAGTAAATATGTCATCTTATACATGAGAACTCATTACTTATTCCCAAAGACAGCAAATTCAACTTCAACTCAGTTCCTTTCATTGACTGTAACTTTATTCAATGTCTTCTTAAAAAAGAAAAAAAATGTATCTCTTCAAGTTAGCAACACAAAGCAACTCTAAGACAGGCTGTATTTAGGTATAAAGATCTCGGTCCCGGTGCCTTTCATTTTGCAGCTAATGCTCTGAACCAGGTGAAGCAATCTGGCTCATCAGGATCCCCCATCTTATTACAGCTTTAACCTAGGTGATTCTGGAGAAGCAATTAGTCTAGATTTGATTCACTGTCCAAAAATTAATGAAAACCAGGCACAGAGAAGAAATGAACAGTCTTCTTTTCCCTACTGCTGAAAACGCTGTAAGCTTCTCAGAAGCCCAAGTTGATGTCTAATTCTCAGTTATATGAGGAATGGCCTGGCAGAGCTTCATGTGACCAGAAAATGAGCTCTTAAACTCAGTGCGAGAAAAACATGCCTACAAATCACTCCTCCAGTCTTAAGGGACTCACACGGTAACTCATTACAACACCAGTGATAACACTAACTTCCTCACTAAGGTAATGAGTAATCATAAACTAGTAAGAGTACCAAGACTTGACACAGAAACTACATAGTTATCCCCAGGACTTCCAAAGACCCGTGTAACACACTCATCTCTTCCTGAGATTCATTCCTTACCTTTGTATCCCTAATAGACTGTTGAGTAGAAAAGGTCTACTGAGTGAATCAGATCATCCTACTTCAAGCTGAACCATTTTCAAACCCAGTAATGTATCTGCATTCCAGTGTCTTGGAAGATACTAATGCATGGAACTTTAGCCCATAAAACATCAGACATGACAGAGTGCAGTTCAGAACACTCCACACAGGCACAAAGATTACTGCCACTATCTCCGAAGCTTTTTTTTTTTTTTAAATTCTGCATAAGATCTAGTAACTTATAGAATGCTGCCTGTAAAACTGCAAACCATCCTGGAGGTGCATAACCCTTCTTTGAAAGGCTAATAAAACCTAGTAACATCTAAGTTAGTAGACATTAGTCTGTCTTTGTAAAATAAAACAAAATCCAGGCAGAATTTTTTAAAAGGACATCTCACCTTTTGGGAAAACTAAACATTAAAAAATCCACACAGCATAACACAGTATCTCATACTGAACAATGTCACCAAAGACAACAGACTGCCAACTTGTATTACTCGTGTTTAACCCTAAGGGTATTCGTTTTGCCTGTATATTTTGTTGGGGAAAAAACCGCCTTTAGGTTTTAGTTGGGCTTTTAGGTGAAGAGTCAGAGGACTCGCTTTCGCGGGGAAGCGAACTGTCAGCGCTGAAACCTCGCAGCCCAAAGAATCACAGGACCTCCCTGTAAGCATCACTCCACACCGACACAGGGCCTGGCAGGGGGATAAAATGACATGCACTTGGTTTTTCGGGTTTTTTGTTTTTCCTGCGTGAAGAGCTAATTTCTCGCCACCTTCTACGGTTCCAAGAACGTGCACTAAAACTTACAAAAGTTGGTTTGAGAGGAAAAGAAAAAAACAGGAAACCGAAACAGGAACCCCGGGCGGCTCTGGCGAAAGCCGGGGGCGGCAGGCAGGGGCTGGGCTCCCGGCCTGGGTCCCCGAGCGAGCGCGGCCTGCAGGACCCGGACCCACGCGCGCCCCCACCGAGGGGGGGGACAGCGTCGGACCCGACCGCCGCGACGCGAGCCTCGGCAGGGCGCGGCCGCCCCCGGCCCTCGCCCTCGCGCCCCCTTACTCTGCGAGCCGTCGTCCACGCGGTCGAACTCCCAGTCCGGGGACAGGGTCTCCACCGCCATCGCGCCGGCGCCCCCCACTACCACAACCCCCACCTGCCGGGCGCGACGCCTGCCTCGCCCCGCGGCTGTCAGCACGTGACTTCCGGCCCAGGCCCCGCCTCCTCGCGCGAGGCCCGGCCGGCGGAGGGGCCGGGCGGCCGCGTGGGCTGCCGGGAAAGCGAGTCTTCCGGCCGGGCCGGATGCAGTCGCCTTGGCGTGGCAGTCTCTGAGCGCTCTGTGTCCGCGGTGGCCGTGCCCTGCCTCGCTACACTTGTCACGGTACACGGGCGCTTTCAGTTCCTCCTTGTTTCTATTTTTATTGTCCTTAATTAAGACAGATGTGGGAATTGGATCATTAGGTGACAAAGCCTACAGAGTTTGCGTACAAGCGAGGAATGAAAAGCCCCAGAGCCTTGCTGTTCTGATGTATAGGTCCTTCAGGATGATCCCTGGGGGTGCCACCGGCATGTATCCAAGTTGGACTGAGTTGAGGGCAGCAATGGAGTGTGTTGCACCAAGGACCTTGTGCCTCATTGCCTCCTGCTCGAACCGTGTTCCTAAAGCAACGGTAGTTGGATCCATTTAGTGGGGATAAGTCCTCAAGTCTTCCATAATGTCAAGGTCCGAGCACTTTAATCATCTCAATCAATCCCGGTGATACCACTTCTTTTGGATAGGCAGTGGAGCCAACCCCCCCCAAAGAACCAGTCCAAATGATACTATAAGTACAAAAATACCAAGTGTATGGGTTGTAAAATAAACTTTGGTTGTCATAAAGTACAGGAGGTTAAAGTGTCTGGTTGGGCCAGGGCTTGAACAATACTAGCACTTCAGAACGTAGCCAGTGAAGAGCAGCATTCCCATTAATGAGACCTGTGACCTTGTCCAATCCTGTTAAATATCTGATGAAAGGAGCCACTTCTGTCACAGGTTGTGCTGTAAATGTGTTCATAACGTATGTTGTCACGCACAGGGCTGATGACATCAAGTTCGTATTGCTGCACAATGTCTCTTGTGCCTTGAGCCAGAGCAGTGTATTCTGAACTTTTTCTCCTCAACTTGTCGTTCTTGTCAAGAGAAAGCAATTCGTGAAACTTATCTAGCATGATATGAAGTGGTGCAACTGGAATTTTACCAACTATCTCTTTTCCTTCCTACTCTTCATCATAGGCACTTGAAATGAGATTTGAGATCCAGAACCTAATAAACAAGTTTCTGTTTTGATGTCTTTCTTTGTGCCAACACTGCAGTCATCAAAGGAGCGATATATATGCAGTGGATGAGAGAACTAAGCAACCACTCTGTCTGTAGGCACTGGCAGACCTGTCTAATATGGATGATATGTAAGTGCCCATGTATCTTATCCTGTCAGGCGGGGAAGGTAACTTGAACCTAATCACACCCAGAGTTCCAGAAGTATCACACAGTGCTGCTTTCAAAGTGGTCACAGCCAAAGCTTTTCTCAGCATAAGCAGGAGGAGGTTGAGGAGAAGCAGCTGGTGCCAGTGATGGGTAAAGTGGTGTTTTCAAAGTCAGTGATACTGCAGGCCTAAGATCAACATGGCCTTGTGGCTCCTTTGTTGATACAAAGTTAGAGATTCAGTGCAGCAGTCTTCATCTCAAGCACTGAGACCCTGAAAGATAAACCATTGAGAAGAGTTAGAATCTTATCCCTGCTTATCTTTGAGAGCAGTTGTCCTATGTGAACTTCTTGGTGCCTCAGCTTCTTTACTGATCTCCATTCTTCACGTTCCAGACTCACCCCTGTGAATTCTACATCTCTCTGCAGTCCTCAACGTCTCCTGGACTTGAGACACTGTGTCTCAGAACATCTCTGTACTTAGCTCCACCCTGTCTCTTCTGTTGCCATCTCGGTTATTCCCAACAGTTGTTCTTTTGTCAGAAGCTGTCACCTTTACATGATCGCTGGCTTCCTTTAATGTAATTGCTTTGTGAACCCTGTCCACTGACATTCTTGGAATTCTTGCTTTTGGAGCTTTCCTTACCTTGTTTCTGGACTCATCAAGATTTATAAATCTGAACTTATTTGAAAGGATTTCTAATGCTCTTATGAACTTTCCATGACTTTATATCAATGTTTTTTCATAAACTAGTGTCCCATCGAAGATGAGGAAGCCCCTTGCTGCCCCAAGCGTGCAGAAGGTTCTTTATTAGATCCAACTGGCTTGTGGACTGTTCCATGCTCATGGAGAGCGATGGTCTAGTTCAAGGCTCTGAGCACTAGGTTAAGCCCCTCTGCATGCTTCACAGATGCACCTCTTGAGTGGTGGCTTCGCCAATGCAGCATCAATCTCATACTCAGGGATATGAGACAGCTGTTCTTTTGTTGACTCGAGGTCTTGGAAAGTTAGGACTGCCTTTCTTTTCCTGGTGTTTGCCATCTTCCAAAGATTTGGAAAGTTCGTTGGTGCAGCTCACATCCCTTCAAGTGCAATGTTTTAAGATACAGAAACATTTCTTGCCCATGTTTCTCAACAAGAGCTTTTTCTACACCAATAAACTTCACCTCCTGGCCAACTCCTGGAAGGAAGCTGGTGTATGACAGTCCTTCATCAATAAATGGCTTAATAATATGTGGTGTCATTTCCACAAAGGCAGCAATTAACTGAAGGAATGAGCTATGAAGGACGTCCAGGTAGGCCACCCAGTGCTTGCTCACTTAGCACAAGCCAACTTGATCATATCCTCCTGTCCAGACCACGGCTCGCCTCTGGATCAAGGTCTGCATCCCAGTCAACACCGGGAGGATTCACGCTGGTTTCACAGCTGCAAACAGGACGCTGAACCCGCTTCTCATTTACTCTAACGGGTTGTGCTGCAGTTTCCGCACCAGGCGGTGCACTAGAGCAGAGCACACTTTACAATTTTATTCTCGAGGTCGGGGGTCGCCTCAATTCCGTCCACGGCCCACGGTGCAATGCCCTTTGCCTGATCCGGCAATGACCATTCTGTTCAAATACAGGCCTTGATCCCTGGTAAGGTGTCATAGAGTTGTGGATCCATTGCCAGAAGAGTCATAAATATGACGGCCACAGCGCCACCTAGTGTGATTGGATGACCTTCGCAGGGCAGGCCCGGGCTGTAGCAGAGACCAGGATCAGGTATTGAGGAGGCGGAATTGTGATTGGCTGAAATGTTGGTCCCTCCTAGCTCCAAAGTGAGTAACATTCCGCCCCCTGGCGGCTATTTTTAATGCTTGAGGGAGTCTCTTCCCCTGACCTAAAAGGGACCGACTGATGGGAAGGCAGGAAGGATGGACGTCCAGGAGGATGCTGTCCACGCGCTTCTTGGAGAAGCCCAGACTCGAGTTCCTCTCCTGTCACCACCATCCGAGTTCCTGCCGCTCTCCTGCACGTCCCTTGCCAATTGTTTTTTCGAAAAGACCTCTGCAAGAAAGGAGCAGGATTTCAGGAATGCCCCTAAAGGGAATCTTGCCACTGGGCTTACTTGCACTTACTGGGTTTGTTGGCTTTAAGAAGCAGAGCGGGAATAGTGTCATCCAGCTCTTCTGCGGACAGGTGTCTGTGTTACCCATCATTCGCCATCCTTACGCTATTGTGCATAGGTGTGCTCTCTGCAGCCTGCTTTAAATAGGTACTAAGAGGAAACTAAGCCTCCACCAAAAAGGAATGATAAAAAAGAAAGAAAAATACCACAAAACAGAATAATAATATGAAGCTTGAAACATCCACATTGTGAACTACTAGAGAGATGTTAAATGAAGTAGGTTTACCATAGCATGAAAAACAGACAAGGGGAAGTCGACGAACAATGCATATTTATGGCTACATTTGTGTTCTGAATTTTATGAACATGCTTCTATGCCTATGTGTTTACAAATGCATAGGAAGAGAACTCAAATCACACTGAACAAGGATAGTGGTTAACCAGGAAGATTATATCTGGCTGAGCAGAGAGTGCCTTTTAAAGTTTTGTGGTGTCTACTTAAGTGTTGTTAAATCTTTATCAAGACAAATTTATTAAGGTTTTACCTATGTAACATTATAAAGTACCAAAACTAATCCATGTCAAATGCTGTCTTGAAGAGCATGGTTCTGAGGTGCTGGGGTTTGTTCTGTTTGTTTTGCAGTACTGGGAATTAAACCCAGGGCCTGCAGTTCCGCATCAGCCTCTGACTAACACCACTGTGTCTGGGACACTGTGTGTAGTTTGGATTTGCATGTGTTGAAGTTTGATCCTCACTCTGAGAAATTAAAGTGGAAATTTGTGTAGCTAGGAAATTTGTGTAGTTCAGCAGCAGAGCCAGCAGGAATCCCTGGGCTTCATCCCCAGGACCAACTGGGTTAAAAGAACAAAGGGAAGGTGTTTAAGGTGGAGTCTCTGAGAGGTGATTAGATTAGATAAGGTTGTTATGGTTCTGCCTCCTTAACTGAATCTTCTTGGCTTTAGAAGAAGAATCCTGCACATTGCCACATGTTCACAATTCCAGCACTCTGGAAGGCCGAGGCCGGAGGATTCCAGATTCAAGCTCAACCCTGCTATATAGCAGCTTAGTGAACATACTACATTCATGCTCCCTGCATCTTGCAGCGTTACAGCCTTCACCACTTTGGAACTCTGCTAATAAGGAGGCCACCACCGTGAGCAGGTCCCTCATCCTTGGACCAGATCTATGAGCCAGAATAAACCTCTTGTTGATAAAGTTACCCAGTCTCAGACAGGTTGTCACAGTGATGAAAGCAGACCACTACATGAGACCATTGCATCTGTAGTGGACCAAATATTTACTGGGTGCCCACTAGGTACCAGGTACCATGCTAGATCTAAAAGAATGTAACACACAAGAACAATAGATCCCTACCCCTTTGGTACTTACATCCTTTGTGCTTACTGGGCATTTACTGTTTTGTTTTAAGATGGGGTATTGCTATGTTGCCCAGCCTGGTTTCAAAATTTGTGGGCTCAAGTAATCCTCTGCCTCAGCCTACTAAGGAGCTGGGACTATAGGCAAGTGGCATTGCCTGGCCTAGTGGCATTTTAGAGGGGGGGGGCG